AATACTTGAACCTAAGGTAAAATTGACAAAGAAGTCTTAACATGACGAAAAGCGCGCAAACAATGACTGAAGTCGGTAGAGCGTTGACTTTTAACCGGCATAAACAAGGTGATGTTTTATCGTAATCGTAACCTGGTGCTAAGTTTTTCTCCTCTCTCTCTCTCTCTCTCTCTCTCTCTCTCTCTCTCTCTCTCATGGGACTGGCTAACAATAATCCACTTCTTGTGATTCTAAGTCTATGAGGCGGGATAACTTGAGATTTTCCACCGAGTTTTCAAGACAGAATATTTGTAATATAAAATGAAATATATTGTTTTAGGTTTAATGTAAATATTGTATTTAGTAAATTCCTGGATATTTTGTTCATGTGTTTACATTGTGGAGTGGCAGATATCAGGAACGATATTTACACAGATTAGGAAGCTAATAATATTGGTTTTATTTCGTTCATGATAAAGAAACTTTTCAAAAATAATATCATAAATGGACTCTTCTTTTGATAAATCTATTAGTGGAACGCCTCCCCATCGCCTCCAGATGAAAGATTGTTATAATATTCATCGTGTGTTATAAACGTCGAGCCACTGGTGCTGTTTTTCACCTCAGTTAAACTCACACAGTCTGCTAAATATAGTGTCTTATTCTACGAACACCAAAAAAGTATTCAACTTTCCCTGCTATCCTATCATCCCGACTCGAATTAAATTATGTTGTTTATCGTTGATAGATAACTTCATATACCACCGATGCAAACAACATAAAAATATTACGTTACGGATAATATACACTGGAAAACACGTTTAACACAAAGTGCTTCCCAATGATGTTAACTAATCTTGCCTCTTGCCTCGTGGCAAGTGTATTTGAATATTGTGAATGTGACAATACTCAGGTGTTTAGTATAACCCCAACGGTCAACTCCTCACCAAGTGTGCTGCACACAGCCTCACTATCACCAATACCTTGTTTAGGCAGACCGACAAGTTCAAGGGTTCGTAGCAACACCCACGATCTAAACACTGGCATCTCATTGACTACATTATTGTCAGAGAAAGAGATCGCTATTGTACTATTCCAGATGATACTAAATGTTACATAATACTTCCTTGAGATAAATGTATGGTATATATCAGGTGCCTCAAAGAGAGCTCAGGTTCTCAACTGGCTCAGCCATGTTAATATTGTTATTATTATCCACTCTGTATCTGTATTTTTCTGGCTAAATAAACTGTTACAATTCAATTCAATTCAATTCAGATGTCCTCATCACCCGAGCCATGCGTGGCTCAGACCACTGTGACACAGATCATCGGTTCCTCACAGCCAAACTCTCCCTACACGTCGCCACAAAAAGGTAAAGGCAACAAGCTCGCCACTAGAAGAAGCGGTAACACGTGCTTTCAGAGAGCAGCTGAACGATGGGCTGATAAACAACCCAACAACAAACAACCAAAATCCGAGTGCCGAACGGGGTCCCATCAAAGCTGTCGTCACAAAACCTGCTACGAGTCCCTCGACCAGATCAAAAGAAAACACCAAGATTGGTTTGATGAAAACGACCCGGAAATCGAAGTACTCGTCAATAGTAAATTTTCTGCTCTCACTGATTGGCATAACAACCCTAATTCTCGGACCAAAGCTGAAACCTTCCACGAGAAGAAAGCGGCGGTCCAGCGCAAACTTCGCAAACTAAAGAACTAAAGGTGGGAAAATATAGTATGTGTAATGCGAAAATATGCGGATCAACTCAAGATGAGTTAATTTTTCAATTATACTAAAACAATATACAATATGGCCTAATTACTCACTACCATTCGCTGCTCAAACAAAACACAGATGTGGATGACCTGCCTACCCGGCAGGTCCCTCAACACCCAGAGCAGCTGACACACCTAAGCTATCCTCCATCCTTGGGTGAGGTAGCTACTGCCATCAAACAGATGAAAGTAACAATGTCTCAGGGCCTGATGGAATCCCAAGGTGCATAAATCAGGAGGACCTCTGCTTACCAGCCGTCTTCATTCTCTCCTGGAGAATATATGGTAGAAGGAGGAAATCACCCCAAGAACTTAAAGATCATCAATATATTATAAAAATAAGGGAGACCGGTCAGACTGTGGCAACTACCGCGGGATCTCCCTGCTGACCGTAGCTGGCAAGATTATCGCCCGAATCTTCCTAAACAGACTTGTTCCAAAGGCGAAATCTTTCTCCCAGAATCTCAATGTGGCTTTAAACCATCACGTGGCACCCCTGACATGATCTTTGCTGCGCACCAGACACGAGAAAAGTACAGATAATAGCATCGGGATATGTACATGGCCTTCTTTAACCTTTCTAAGGCCGTTTTGGCTGCCCACCAAACTTCATTGCCATCGTGAGGCAACTCCACGATGGCATGTACGGCAGTGTCCTGCACAATGGCACCCAGTCTGAGTTCTTCCCCATTCAAACGGGGGTAAAACAAGGATGTATATGGGCACCAACTCTCTTTTCCATTTTCTTGGCTGCCTTCCTTTATCGTGCCAGTGCCAATTTAGCTGGTGGGGTGGACACCCAGTACCGGATGAAGGGACTTTTCAACGTAAGACGACTCCAGACAGGAACAAGGGTATCGGCGGCTTCCATTACTGAACTTCAGTATGCAGACGACCTCCCCCTCGTCACTCACACTGAACGTGACTTACAGGAGATCCTGAACATCTATACAGATGTGCATGCACACTTCGGCCTTGAGGTGAATGCACGTAAAACTCAGATTCTCCTTCAACCTGCCCCTGGTTCAACCACTCCTTCACCATCCATCCAGCTTAACGGACATACTCTTTCTAATGTTACCCACTTTTAGTACCTTGGCTCCCACCTCTCCACCACCGCAGACATCAATGAAGAGATTCAACATCGGATCAGATGTGCATCTCAAGTCTTTGGCAGACTCCGTACCCATGTCTTCAGCTATAGGGAGCTGAAATTTTCTACAAAATTGCACGTGTATCAAGCAGTGGTCCTCCCTACCCTGTTGCATGGCAGCGAAACATGGGTCACCTGAAGGCATTTGAAATCTTTCACCAACGTAGTCTACGTTCCATCCTCCGAGTTCGCTGGGAAGGCAAGAGAACAAATGCCAGTATTCTCGCTGACATCAACTGAAGGAGCATTGAGGCTGCCATTATCCATGAACAACTACGTTGGACTGGCCATGTTACCCGCATGGACGACAGTAAACTGCCAAAGCAGCTACTTTACAATCGCCTGACAAATGGTAAACGTAACGCTGGCGGACAACAGAAAAGGTATAAGGATAGTCTTAAGACAAACTTGAAAAAGTGCTAAATCGACCCCTTTATATGGGAGACGATCAGTCTACACCGTAATACTTGGAGGAGCACCACACGAGATGGTGTCAATACTTTCGAGTTAGCCCGACTGCATGCCGAACCAGACAAGAGCCAACGCCGGAAAGACACTGCCCCCCCTCCCTCCCTCCTGCACTAGATGTAGCCCTCCACATGTGCAACATCTGTGAACAACTCTGCCGGTCCCGTATCGGCCTCTCTAGTCACCTCAGAACTCACCAATGAAGGTGACATCCCCAATAACTCATATCATTGTATCATAGCTGGAGGATCGTCATACTCGATTCCGAGTGACAACAAAGTAGTAGTAGTAGTAGTACACCACATGCTACTTCTCTGATCATTTTCATCAATAAAACATATCCTTAGCAGTGGGCAGCACATGAACTTCGTGAGTAATTTGGGTGGCTACATGGAACAAGCAAATATTCACCAAGGGCAGAGACAACTCAGCTTTAAAGGTACTTGTACATATGTATACCAACATCTCCATCGCTAGAACATATTGAGAAAATATGTAAAGAAAATATTACGTAACTTTTATATAACTGAAAAACTCTGATGTTTTAAATAACAATTTATAGCATGTCATTACAGGTTAACGTTTACAGTTCTGGTTTCATATTGAAAATTTTTGCCAAACGAAACCACATTTGTTGGGATGAATATGTTACAGCTCACTCGTTAGAAGGAAAACATTCGTGAAATGAGACTCACTGCTTGTAAATTTCACAACAAAAACAACTCTTTATTTTTTCGTGAAACGAGAGTCGTTAGCTAAAAATAATGACATCTGTGCCATCCAAATACAGTACCACACACACACACACACACACACACTACTACTACCTTGCTGTCACTTGGAATCGAGTATAGTGAGTTTTGAGGTGACTAAAGAGGCCGAAACGGGACCGATAGAGTTGTTCACAGATGTTGCACATGTGGAGGGCTACATCGAGTGCGGGAGGGGCGGTGGCAGCGTCTTTCCGGCGTTCGTGCTTGTCTGCCTCAGTTTGAAATCAGGCTAACTCGAAAGTATTGACACCTTCTCCTGTGGTGCTCCTCCAAGTGTTACGATGTGGAGTAATCGACTCTCAGGTGAGGGGGTCGATTTGGCACATTTTCAGGTTTATAATAAGACTACCCTTATACCTTTTCAGTTGCCCGCCACCGTTACGTTTACTGTTTGTTAGGTGATTGTAAAGGGGCTACTTTGGCAGTCTACTGTCGTCCATGCGGGTAACATGGCCAGTCCAACGTAATTGTTTATGTATAATGGTAGCCTTGATGCTCCTACAGTTGGTGTCAGCAAGGATACTGTTATAAGTTTTCTCCTTCTTCCTTGTTTGTTCTGGGGTTCATTTAGCCCTTGATGCAGTGTTTTCCCTTCCTGTATATTACCCATTAAGAAATGTACGAGTGTTTGTTACAACTTTTATCCTTGGTAATTTTGCTTTCAATTTTACACCGTTGATATAAATTTGTTGTCAACTTTCTCCTCTTGCTTCCTCTATAACTAAGACCTTTGAGCACAATCAAATTTTGTAAAAAAAATCGGATCACCTGAAGATTAACCACCCTAACGTTAACCTAACATAGCGTAACGTAACGTAACTCAGCTTGAGGTGAAATAAGGTGGGATATCTAATCTTCAAGTGATCCAATATTTCTGATGATATTACATTTACTGGATTTTATGCCTATTAGTGGACCTGCCTTCTCCTTACGCTCATTAAACTTGGAGCCTGGAGCCGTAAAGAGCGCTATTACAGGCAGAAGGTGGATAAACTTCCGCTGGGTGTAACATACAAGTCACTGGACACCTACTGCTGCAGTTGAGGGCTCGTTCTTTGATTTTTTACATCTTATTCTTTATCTATGAGTCAGGAAGAGTTTTATTTCTCATGTTGCTTTATTTGTTGATGGGCGAGTGATATTACTTGCCTTGTTGCGTGTACAGAGACCCGAGCTGCTGAAGTGTAGTGTTAATAGTGACAATGGTCGAGTTGACGGTCTGAATTTTTTCGTAAGATGGCAGGTCAATGGGTAAAGAAAACGCTTAAATTCACTATGGTGATGGTATTTAAAATAAATTGGGCCCAAAAGTGTCAAAAATAAAGGTTAAAGTTGCTAAAAAGTCACGTGACTGCGAACAGCTCTGTGATTGGTTGTGACGTTTCTGGTTGGGGCGAGCTTCCCAGCGGGAGGCAGCCAGCTGTAGTTGTCCAACCTTCTCGGCTGATCTGCTCTGTAAATAAATATTGTTAGATAATTAATTGTGCTTTACTGTGCAACACAGTAATACTATTTTAAATATATAAATATTACTAAGCACATAAACCAATTCAATGGATATTAGCTGCCCATACAACAAATTTCATAGTATAAACAATCCAAACAATATTGGTATTATTTTGGTTTTGGTTATCTGGGGAACCTTAAGATTCTAACTATGGGATTAAGTACTTTAAGCAATAAGACACATTATCTCTACGGGATGTCTGTCGCAAAACATTTGTCGATCGCTTAAGAAAATACAGATCATATGTTAGGTTAGGTTAGGTTAGGTTAGGTTAGGGTATGATGAGTTATAAGGTTAGCTTAATATACACCGGTAAGGGGGGGGGGTTAGTAACTCAAAACTTGTGATTTCCAATAGAAATGAAGGTCTCAATCGTTCATAACACATCGCAAACCATCAGAAAATCATAGTCTGCAAGTCTAAGTACAGGGATGACCAAAACTTAATATTTACCCCCTATAGCCTACCTCGCATCTAAACATCAAAATACTTATGGTAGTTAAAGTAAAATTTTACCCATTAATTAATATAAATGATATCCCAGTGGTTCATTGGTGAATCATCAAAACAATAATATCACTATGTTATCATGTTTACCAAGTATCAGGCATTCTTAAAACAACGTCCAGACAATGTCATTACTTCTAAATTGACTCGTATCTCCATCTAGTACTGATATACTCTGTCAATGCACTGAAAAAAAGAAGAGAAAGTCAACCAGGTAAGAGTACAAGACAGCTGAGCTGGTGTGAACATGGGAGTTTTTTATGTCCAAAAGAACATAAGAATGGAGGAAACAGCAGCGGGCCTATTGGTCCATACTGGGCAGTCCCATTTACACCCAACCCCTATCGCTCATATATCCATCCAACCTGTGTTTGAAGCTGCTCTTCACGGCACATTTCTTCACTTACGAAAAGTCCATGACTTAGGCCATAAGAAAATACCCTTAAGACTTACCTGAACGTGGCATTTGGGGTCTGAAGGGGCCATCCTTTCTACTTCCTCCGACTGCAGCGAAAAGGTTGAAACTATTGACGTCATTGCAAATGGCGGCCATGTTTCTAGAGAAATAAACTTATCTCGACTATTATAGCAGGACTTTAAACAAATTATATATACCGTATCACTCTACGAACGTGGCAGAGTATTTCTTGTGTTTACCCAGAACCGACAACTCGTCCATTATCATATGGTAAAATTAGTTCTCTTTCCTTTAAGGCGTCGTTTACCATCATAAGATAGCCATATGATATCTATAGTTAGGTTAGGTTAAGTTAGATTACGTTACGTTAGATTACGTTAGGTTACGTTAAGTATTAACTTATTCGTTTCCATATATTGTGATTATCTATATGATCGTCTAGGACCAGTCAGAAGTTTCTGAAAAAAAAAATATATATATATATATATATAGGGTGTCCCATAAATTTCCATACATAGGAAAAATAAACCTTTTTATATGAAAATCCATTTTTATTTATATAATATGCTCTACATGACTACCATTCTGTTGAAAACACTCTTCAATGCGTGTCCTCCACTGCTGAAGAACACGTTCAAGCACAGCTGGAGTTATGCTTGTAATGGCGTTGGTGATACGTTGCTTGAGATGATTTATGTTTTGTATCTTTTCCTGATACACCATGGCCTTCAAATGCAACAGAATGGTAGTCATGTAGAGCATATTATATAAATAAAAATGGATTTTCATATAAAAAGGTTTATTTTTCCTATGTATGGAAATTCATGGGACATCCTCTATATATATATATATATATATATATATATATATATATATATATATATATATATATATATATATATATATATATATATATATATATATATATATATATATATATATATAATTTATTACTAATTTACTGATTATCGCTTCTAGACAGATTTACAGATATACAGTACTGTACAGGTCGTCTAAATAGAAAATTTATATTACCTACAATTTACCCTTTGTATGGCAGGTGTTCAGCTGAATATAATCGTCTGTCGTCGGCCTCTAAAGGGCTAAGACAGCGAATTTCCTTTAGACTGTTATTTCTCTTAATTCATCACGAGTGTCGTAGTCACGCAACTTTACAGTGCGACCGTTTGACCTTCATATGCTGAGGCCGTCCCCGTTAAATGGACCCCCCCCCCTTTGAATAACCCGCATTGCCTCCTATCAAGGTTTTGTTCATCACCGTTGACACGTGTCAGTGACCTTATAAGACCTGTTACTGGGGGTGCTCCCATTGTGTGGTACAGGTCCAGCTCAGCACAAGATGGAATCAATACCAGATTAATATGTACAGTCCCTAGGAGCTATACAAATATGTGTATGTGTGTGTGTGTGGGTGTGTGTGTGTGTGTGTGTGTGTGTGTGTGTGTGTGTGTGTGTGTGTGTGGAGGACGAGAATGGACACAACAGAACAGAGAGAATAATGCCCCGCCACCCGCCTGATGGTTCATTTACCCCCACAAAGGCCTCAGCACACCTCGTGGCCTAGGTACACGCTGATAAATTTATGGGTTTATGGATCGAACGAACATTCAACAATGAACTGGAAACCACGTTTGTTCACGCTAATCGAGGGACCTAATTACCCTCTGTTTCCACCTGTGACGCTTGAATTGATTTTAATTGTTGACACAATTCAATAGACACGTTATTCATTACTGTAGAGCCTACAAGGCCTTGACAACGTCCTACCGTTCCTATCTCCGGTCCTTATCAAGGTGTCTCCATCGACTAGTTCCTCCCTGGGTCACTGATGACGCGAGTCCATTAACGCCTCAACGTTGAACTCCGTGATATCTGGTCCTGCCCTCGCCTTCCACGCCAACACTCTCACCTCCTCCAATTAGTGATTAAAGACGGGTAGCGGCGACAAGTGCGGCGGTCTGTTCATTATTCGCTGTGCCCGGTAGATTTAACTCTTATGAAATGGTATATATATATATATATATATATATATATATATATATATATATATATATATATATATATATATATATATATATATATATATATATATATATATATATATATATATATATATATATATATATATATATATATATATATATATATATATATATATATATATATATATATATATATATATATATATATATATATATATATATATATATATATATATATATATATATATATATATATATATATATTAATCTTTTATAGCTTTCTAAAATTTAATGTATATATAGGTATGGTCATGTAGATAATGATAATAATACAAATTATAAATGAATAACATCAGTACTACCTATACACCTAGTTAACCAACGTCACACGGAACCTCCGCCAGTCGTAAAAACTTCCTCCAACAGTTGTGAACAGTCGTTTCGATAGGATCTTGATTTACTACACCATAAAGCTTCAAGAAGGTAGTAAAGCACTGAGATGGGTGTCTTCCTGAGCCATTTCAGGAACATGAGAATACCCATTCCAGGGTTTTTCGCCTTCCTACAAGGGCACTAAATTTCTTGAATGACATACAGTTGCCAACACTTCAACCTGGTATAGTTAGCGAATGGTCTGAAAAATGGCAGATGAAATTCAACATGGACAAATGTAAAGTACTCAGTATAGGAGATGTAAACAGGGAAACCAGTTACCAGATGAGCAACGATGCCATTGAGAAATCCGACTGCGAGAGAGATTTAGGAGTAATGATAAGTAGGAACCTTAAGCCAAGTAAACAATGTGTATTTGCTAGAAACAAGGCTAATAAAGTACTTGGGTTCATACAAAGGAGTGTTAGTTACAAGACTAGCGAGGTCATCCTAAAACTATATCTTGCGCTTGTGAGACCTCACTTGGATTACGCAGTTCAATTCTGGTCACCTTATTACAGAATGGATATAGAATCCTTGGAAAGAATTCAGAGGAGAATAACAAGGCTAATCCCGGGCATTAGGAACCTTGAGTACAGAGACAGGTTAAAGCATCTTAATTTGCACTCCCTCGAGAGACGTAGAGTGAGAGGCGATATGATAGAGGTGTATAAATGGAAGTCAGGGCTGAACAAAGGGGACATTACAAAGGTACTCAAACTATCCAACCAGGAGCGAACTCGTAACAATGGTTTTAAATTAGACAAATTTAGATTTAGGCGCGAAATTGGTAAACATTGGTTTGGTAACAGAGTAGTGGATGAATGGAACAAGTTACCAAATATCATCATTAACTCGAATATGCTGGATAACTTCAAACATGGGTTGGATGCTCATATGAGCAATAGGGGTTGGGTGTAAATGGGACTGCCCAGTATGGGCCAATAGGCCCGCTGCATTTTCCTCCATTCTTATGTTCTTATGTTCTTATGTTCAATCTTCTCTCTCCATAATGTGTGAACCCAGAGAGTATCAAAGCATGAGTGAAGGCGAAACTCCCGGAATTGCCCTAAGGAACCTCACAATAGTAGCTACAGTAGACTAAGGATGTTAAATAAGCATTCCGCCTCTATCTCTGACCGCAAGTATTTCTTGCATGGTAATAGTTTTAATACAAGTTACAAAATAGAGCGTCATTGGCTCCAACCTGCTAGCTGCAGGTTGGTGGCAGTGTGGTGAGGTGTTGTGACGTAAGGAGAGGTTCTGACGCCTAGAGGGGCACCAACATACTATCGTGTTCAGTCATGTTTCCTTAATCTGTGAATCCTGATATTTTAAATATGACTTTAGGTATTATTGGGAAAAACAATAAAACGTTCTTGCATCCAGTTTTCTTTATTATGTAGTCATACCAAACCTGGGGCATGACTAAATATTCCATTGCATAAGGATTACTGTTGTTTATTGGCATTTGCTGTATGCTAGAATATTATGCTTAACCATAATGGTGGAATATATGTGGGTGATGTGACAGCAATATTGCTGGCCAGACATCGACTGTTTTAGATTAGGAGGTACTATGTCATTGTGAGTTGGATGGATATTATGAAATTTAGCTAAATTTTGAATGAAAATTTAAGTTCGCGTCCAAGGTGACTTGACATTAGACTGATCATGCTTCGATACTCTTTGGGTTCACACATCATGGAGAGAGATGATCGGCAAGGCAAACTGTACCAGGTAGAAGTGTAGGCAAATGTACATCCTAGGCATGTTGATAATAATCACTTTCCTATTACTTTTCTTCTATATGTTTAATCTGACTGTATAACTTAATGCTGACTATATTTTGTCTTCTGCGCAAAATTTAAACTAATGGGGTGAAAAAAGGCAGCTTCACTATCTGAAGTAAAAAATAACGTTTGATATATAGATTACTGTATACTTCGTATTTTTTTCTGCTTTACTGAAGTGAATTTACTGTTTTCAAGTTAATTATGTTCTGTACATTTTTTAATGATAATAATAATAATAACAATAATAATAATAATAATAATAATAATAATAATAATAATAATAATAATAATAATAATAATAATAATAATAGTAAAGAACCATAAAGAAATACAAAAATGAAAAACAGATCAAAATGAGTTGCCTGCGAGTTGTTTAAACAGCGACGATGGTTCAGACTATGAGTGAAGCTTCGAGACACTTTTTTGTGCTGTGAATGAGAGAAAAGCGACGAAAGGATTATAAGGATTGTATAAGACTCTAGAGCATTGTTAATGGAAGTGGAGGATTATAAAGGGCTGTAGTAACTTGAAAGTGAAAAGATTAAATATTGATAGTTGAGCGCTGATAGCAAAGTCGACACACAATTTGAATTTATAATTCTCTATTGCTGATGATGGAAGATCAAACCATAGTACCTCTAACGTCTCTAGTTTTATACCAGACGCAAAGTTAAAACATCAACATGATCTATGCTCAAAACTTTGCTTAAGTTTATTGTCAATAAATAGTCGGAGCAGCTACTTCTAACAACTAAGTCACTACCCTACGATAAACTACCTCCTCGGGATGGATAGCTTCTTATAGGTAAGCGCTTTCCCTTCCATACCATCCTTATCACAGTCAGACACGTCTCC